GAGATGTTAGTTAGACATAGAACCTAAAATTTCAATGCATGTTTCGATTGGTATTGAATTAATTTATTCTGCTAATATCGTCTTTGTTTTTTTTTTTACTTAAGTATCTTAATTCTAGATTGAGATAATACTAATCATTTCATAATAAAAACGATAAAATTTAATTTTTTTTAATAAATATAATTTTAGAATTTAAACTATGGACACAAACTTGATTCGAGACCAACTTATGTACTATTCGACAAATAGCTAGATGGTTCTGTTAATATCTTTTTGAATTATTATAAAAAACCTTTCATATATTTTTAATTTATTCTTGTTGATTTGCCATGTTACCTAGGCAACGGGGAAATGCAGCAAGATCCGACCGGTGCAAGTGTGCAGGATCTTCCCTTGTCGGTAGATTTTTGCCAAATTAGTTGTCCTCGTGAGTTGAGCAGTCATGCACATGGGAGGATTCACTACTTAACTCCTCGCCCTACTAATAATGAATACTGACAGATATTGGTGTCAGTATTCCTTATTAGCAGGCCACAGCATACTGAATTAGTACGAGGGGGAAGCCAGATATTAATTAAATTTAAACATTAAAACATGGTTTCATATTTCAGCTACCAAAATCAAGCCAAAATTAAATGTCATCGAGATCAACTCCTCAAGATAATGTATTTTATAAGACTTCTGAAGATTCTAAAGTCTGAATAACATTCATCAATATTCAATGGGGTTGGTATAATAGTACTGTTGGACGTGTTGTTTAATTAATTCATGTCTCAGTTCCGGCCTTTTAGCCACTTGGAGAAAAAAATAAAATTATGGTATCTTTTTGCGTAATCCTTCAGTATTTCCAATTACGTGATATTTCGAAGACATTATTCTTCAGTTTATTTATTTATTATTATTATTATTGTGCTTTGAGCTTGATCGTTCAATAATAAGCAAACAGTTACTTTTAAAAAACGAATCATTAATTACTTATTCAATTGAATATCTTGTCTATATATATATATGTGTGTGTTGATATGTTAACGTGATCATTGATAAGAGCACTGTTAGACTTGCAGGTAAAAGAGGCAAAATTATTAGATAAAAATTAAATTAAAATAATAAAAAAATAGCGTTGCCATGGACTGATGGAGAATTTTGGAAAACCTATGGGGGGCAAATTCGAACTCCTAATTAAACTAATAAGGGGTATTATATATGAATTTCTTTGAAAGAATGAAAGGCCCCTTTCTTGATTACACACACATATCTTCCGGGGTCGTTGATATAGTAATCGATCAGTGAGATTAGATTCACGACATCTTAGAGCATTGAGTTGGACCCACTTTTTTTAATTGGCATTATCAGATTTCCATGTTTAATTTTATGAAAACCAGAATATTCAATTATGCTGTGCATTTGTTTAGACTAACGCTCCGGATCTGCGAAAAAGAATGGATGGCACATCGAGAGGATAGATATGCTTCCTCCGTATAGTTGGATGGATGAAGATCCTTCTCCACTTGTAATTTGTTCCATTTGGTTGGATGGGTTTCATCCCTTTCCTTATTTATTTGTCAACAATTAAATGGATCTCACTAAATTAAATTAAAGATCTACTCTTTTATCTTTTCATTTTGCCTTTCTAATCCTTATCTTTTATTCGTTTCAACATTCCTAATATACATAAGTACGTGGAAGATTTTTTGTTCTTTTACAAATACTCAAGTGAATTAGGTTTGCTGGCCGGCTAGCGATCGATTTCATCTAAATTCGGTTAATGTGTAGCTTGCCATCATCCAAACAGCAGAGAAGTAATAGAAAAATGAATAACAAAATGAAGTAATATTAAAGAGTGCGTGTATTTTTTTTATTATTATTATTTTTTTGTGTGGATAGAATGGAGGGCCATTAGCATCCAAAAGTCTTTATAACTAGTCATTCACAGTTTTGGACGGATTATATAAAATCGTACCTGTTATTTGACTGGTGAAAGTCTATTTTGTTTGTTTTGAGACAAGTCTTTATGACTAGTCATCCTCGGTTTTGGACGGATTATATAATTGCGTAACCTATTTGATTGAAGAAAATCTATTTTATCTGTTTTAAAAAGAGACTCCACGCCTGGTGTTTTGCAAAAACTATTTACACAGACCATCTAAAGATGAAATTTAAACTCAGATTTCTCACTATCTTAAATCAAATCTTTTTCCACTTGTGTTATCCTTTGTAGATTAACACATGACAATAACAAACTTGCCAAGGGTGCCTGTATTTCATTATCCATAGATAATTAAAAAAAAATGCATGTACATAAGTTTTATTGGACAATAATCGAATTGCTCCTTAAAGGGAACAATTGATTTTTATTTTCTTAGTTTCAAATTTACCCCAATTCTACATCAAGTTTTTTCTCTCTAATGAAGCAAAAATCTATAAGAGTATATATAGTTTTTTTTTTTTTGTTAGTTATCCACCGCACATAGTTTCGTTCTTCAGTTTCCTCTCACTCTTAATTTTATGAAATAGGCAAAGATTCTTTAGCCCGAAATCGCAGAATAATTAATGGTGTCACTTGTGTTATTTTCCGAAATTAAAGTTAATTCAAGTCTTTTTAGTATGTACTAGTTGGATACCCGTATTACGTTGTGGGCGAGCAACCGTTACATACATAGGGTTAACAATTCGTATGGAATAATGCGAGTAGAAAGTTTTATTTTTAGTGATTAATATAAATCAAATCTATGTATAGTTAATTTTCTAACAAAACTAATGAGATATATATATATATATATATATATATATATATATATTAAAAAGAAAGGACAAACTAAATCTCAACGAGTCCAACCCGTTTAAAAGAAAAAAAAAACAGAGATGCAAGCTAGGAAAAAAAAAGCCATAGTAATAAGACTGTGAAGGACCAGCTCAACAACCCGGGCCTTTAAGAAAAAGAAAAGAAAAAAAAAGAGGCAAGGCAGGAGAAAAAAGAGGGGGACTGTGGCATGAATAATCTCACCTCCAGTTCTTTTATTTTTATTTTTTATAATTCCCGCACTACGCTGCAATCGGAAAATCATTATATTCACGGGGTTAACGATTTGTATGATATGATGCGAGTAGATGTTTTGTTTTTAAAGGTTAATGCAAATCGAATCTATATATTAAGCAAACTTATTTGATTTATATATATTCATAATAAAATAATTTATAATATTAGTATAAAAAATTTATATTTGAATAATTAAGAGGTCGTTTCAAAACATTAATTAAATTATTTTATTTTAAAATATAGAATTTAGAGTATGAAAAAAAACCCAAATAATTGATGTTATGTGTGTGGATATAATTAATTTATAACAAAACTATATATATCGTACTTGACGGGTTTAGAGAATATAAAATAAATAAATAAATATAAAAACCCACCTAAATCGCATGAAATATATTAAAGTAAATAGATTTAAATAAAAACTATTATAAAATTGGTTTCGATAAATTTTGATTATATATATATATATATATATATATATATATAGTCAAATCAAACTTGTGAAATTTTTAACTAATTATTAATTTAAAAAAAAATAAAACAAAATTATTTTTTTTTACTTATTATCATTTTTTTAAAAAAATTAAGTCAAATTATCTAAAATATACTTTTAGCTCTCTTTCCCACTCATCAAAATTTATATATGACAAATATCTATATTACTTGGCGGATTCAAGCATATATAAAATAAATAAAAATATATATTAAAAAAAAACTTCAATTGCATGGAATATATTGAAGTTAATAGATTTAAATAAAAACTACTATAAAATTGGTTTCGATAAATTCTGATTATGTATATATTACTTAGCGGACTCGAATATATTAAATAAATAATATATATAAAAAGACTCACTTAAATTGAATGAAATATATCGGAGTAAATAGATTTAAATAAAAATTATTATAAAATTAATTTCAATAAATTATAATTATACGTATATAAAATCAAATAAAATCTATGAATTTTTTAACTAATTATTAATTTTTTTCTTTTTAAAAACAAAAGTACGTCAGTTGTTAAAAGGGAAAAAAATGGTACTGCTACGACAAATAACAACCCAGCCTTTTGAAAAAAAAAACAAAAAAAAAAGAGGCCAGCTCAGAAAAATTGAATGACAACCCAATCCTTAAAAAAAAAAAAAGAAAGAAAGGAGACCAGTTCGAAATGACAATCCAGCCCTTTAAAAAAAAGCAAAAAAAAGGCAAAAGGACTAATTAATTTATCTCTCAAGTAAAGAGAGACCAACAAACAAAACAAAATGCACGAATAAAGACATTGAGTGAGTAGTTATCGAGTGAATGAATAGTCCCACCCTCGCTTCTTTTAGTTTTTTTTTTTTTTATAATAATAATAATACGTAATTGTTTTAGTAATTTTTTTTTAATTCAAGGTAACTATTCATCAATTTTTTGTGTATTTTTTTTTTAATTCTTGAGAACACATTAATAAATTTTATTTTGGATTCTACACATACTTTTTAAGTTGTTTTATTGCAATATTAAATTTTTGAACAACTTTTTATTTAACAACACATATAATTAAACACTTTTTGAACCAAATTCTTTTCTACGATTTTTTTTCTTCTAAACTCTATATTTCTTATATTAGTCAAATATTAAATCAAATAACCATTTATCTATATTTGTTATTTTTCACCAAATCAACGTATGCGGAATAAATTGCAAACAAATGGAGATAAATTTAATTTCCTATTATTATTTTTTAAAACAATCCCCTTAATTTTATTTTCCATGCTATAATAATTAAAAAAAAAAGATTGTTTTAAAAAATAATAGTAGGAAATTTAATTTCCATTCGAAACGTTTCAACAAAAGAAAACTTGGTGGACTCCCATTCGAAACTCTCAAAGCCTATTCTTCAACATCTCCTCGTCACTGGGTAAACCCTCAGCCTCTCTCTCCGTCTCTCTCTCTCACTGAGACAGTCAAAACCACAAAAATGGCGAGTGGCAGTTCTCAATCTTAACAAACCTATCAATCACACTCCTCCTTCCCTTCCTCTCCTTCTCTTTCTCCCTTGACTCCCCTACAAATCGTCGCCTCCTACTCGACGACTTGTGACTCAAATCTTCCCACTCAATCTTCTCCAATTCTCTCAAATCTCGTGGGTTTGATCTCAATTTTAAGCTTGCTGATGATCCAAAACTCGCCCTTCAACGTTATGGCCAGTACTTGTATGATGCCTTAATTCTTCTCTCCTTCAATCGAAAGTAAGTTATTAATTGAAAGAAATTGTTGTTTATTTTTATCAACTTTTGGTTTTTATGGTTCAGTTTCTGATTTGAAAAAATGGTTTTTGTTCTATTTACGATGTTTTCTGTTTTCGGTTTTTCTGGAATGATTTGTGATTGGGGGCTTTGGGCAATTGGGTTTTGTTTGTTTTCGTTATTGTTAGGAATCGGTGGTGCATTGGATTTAGCTGTTGTACTTGACTTTGTTGACTTGGGTCATGATTTGATCATTGCGGCCAATACTTCTGCTTCTGATTTGATTAAGAGTGTAGCTACTGAATGTGGGGTTGATTTCGATGAGGTTAGTGTAGAATTTATGATGCATTGACTGTTTTTGTCATTTTGTTTAGTTTAATTTGTTTATTGAGTTTATGTAATGTTGTAGGATCCATTTGCTATGGTTATTGATCATAAAAGTTATGCTGTCGTCGAGACTGAGGGTGATCATACATTGATTGCTGCGGATGATTTTATTGAATCTGATGTGATTTTTGGAGAACGTAAGATTGAGGTTAGTTTGTTTCATTGTTTCATTCGTTATGTTATTTTTTCCCCTACCTTTATGGATCAATGAATTCCTGAAAAGTTTAAGGTTTGAGTTTTGAATGTTTCTGTGTTTTAGATTAAACAGGCTCCTGTGCTCTTTAAGGGGATTGCACATTCTTTAAATTCAGCGAAGTCCCTGGTGAGGTCAAGGTCAAATGAGTCTTGGTTTATTTCTTTGTTAATGCGGCTGGATGAAAACCTTTTTAAGGGCAAAGCAAAGGGACTAATTAATTTCTCTTTCAAAGAAAGAGGGACCAAGATGCAATAAAAAATGCATGAATAGAGACTTTGAGTCTGTAGCTACAGTGAATGAATGTTCTCAACCCCACTTCTTTTAGTTTTTTTTTTTTTTTTGTAATTTGGTATTGAAAATAGTTTCTTATAGTTGTAAACTTGTAATGGCAGAAAAGAATATTTGATAAAATACATGGTTGAAAGCGTATTTATATTAATATGCTTTAAATTATAAGATAAAAAATATAGAAAACCAATACCATAAATTTCAGTTTCTGACTTTTTTAGTGTGAAGCCACATGACTTCACAAAAAAACTACTTTTTTTGAACCAAATCTGATGGCTTGTAGGATCAAAAGCTTCGAAAAAAACCACCACCATCCTTTGTCTCAACTGGGTTCTTGATGGTCTATCTTTCTTAGCCGGAGAAATTAAAAAAGTTGATTATATCAATGCTGGCTCTAAATCGAATTCAATCTGCATCATTTATCGTATATCCAAAAAAACTATCAAACTAATTCAAAAAACACACACACACACATATATATATCCTACCTGTCATTCAAATTTATAAAACTTATTTAAAAAATCTAACTAGTACCAAAAGGTAAAAAATTGAGTAAAAAATCTACAATTGTAGCTTATAATTAGGTGGATGATAAAGAAACAAACGAAAAATTTTAAAAAATTATTATAATAATTTAGGTGAATAAATTGATATACCGTGAAAGAATCGAAGTGTTATTTTAATTAAAAAATCGTGTAACGGTGACAAATCGACACCAGTTACAGAACAAGGCAGGCATAAACATTTGAATCCAAATCCGAGTTAAGAAGCCACCATGCACGTGATATCATCCATAACGATGAACGTACGCCTTTTTCGTCGCACCTATACTTGAATGCATCTCCAGTGAAATAATACAAAATGAGAGACTGAAACCATTATTGCAAGAACCGGCGAGTTTTTGTTTTAAAAAATAGGATGCTTTTAAACTTTATTTGTAAAAATAAGATTGTTTTAGTCTTATTTATTAAAACAAGATAGTTTTTACCACGTCGATCAAATTACTTACACGTGTTAGTTTTTTTTAATATTAAATTCACTAATAATTTTATAAATTTTATAAATAAATATCATTTGCAATACACATGTTTCATTAATTATGATTATTGGATAAAATCAAATGCTAGTAGACCCAATCACACCATCTTATCAACGAGATCTAAAAACAATTATTCTAGTAAAGTAAAAATAAATAAATCTCGAAGAATCAATAACTCCATAACAATCTCTCTCTGTAAAAATTAAAATAGCTCAACTCCACTCCTTCCCTTTTGGAGCAAAACGTTCTTCAACCATAAAAAGGGGACAACTAATGAAGCTAAGACTTGCTGGGAAGTTAGAAAACGAAAGAGTTATACATAAGCTAAGACTTTTATTCCGTAACTGCTGGAGCTGGTGGTGTTGTGCCAATACTAGGGGTACTCATGCTGGTGGAACTACATGTTGTGTCTCTGTTGCAAGCGATGCTGCTTCCATATTGTTGCACACTCTTGTAACTTTTTGCATCTTCTTTCTATTGTATTAGATTTATTAAAAGATTATATGATGATCAGGATGATCAGGGCATAGTTTGTAGGTAATTAGATAGAGTCCAGAGGTTGATTCTTTTGCAATTTAGAATCTTGCTTGTGATAATCTTTTATGATGTTTCTCAAAAGTTTGTGTCTTTTGTAAATGCATACATTCTTCCATCATTGATTCAATTATTACCAGTAATTTTAATATTGCTAATGGAGTTATTGGTTCTTGAAGGTTTATTTATTTTAACTTTACTTGAGTAATTATTTTTAGATTTTATTGATGAGTTGATGGAATTGGTTCTACTAATATTTGATTTTATTTGATAATCATAACTAATGAAATGAATGTATTACAAATGATATTTATTTCTAAAATTTTGTAAAACTAACAGTGAATTTAGCATTAAAAAAAATGACATGTATAAGTGATTTGCTCCGCATAACAAAAATTACATTGTTTTGATAAATAGAATTAAAACAACCTTATTTTTATAAATAAGAATAAAAAATACCTAGCTTTGAAAAAAAAAAAAAAAAAAAAACTCAAGAACCGGCTACTTAATCGATATACAAACGAGATTGTTCAGGATATATATAAGGTGGGAACCGATCTTATTGTAAATGGAAATCAGAAAATAGGAAAAAACAAACTCTATTACAAATACGTACGTACATATAGCACATACAACTTGCAGTGGAACGTTTACAGAGGTAATTACCTATGACCGAGCTAATGCTACGAAGATTCATTTTGTAATGGTGGGAATTAATGATCCCCTAGAGCTTTTAGTGGACGAATTAAGATTTCCATTCCTTGGCCAAACAAGCAAGCGGGTCATAAGATGACCCACCAATCTCCAAAGCTTTAGCAGCACTATCTTTCAGCTCTCTAATCCTTTTCCTTGTATTCTTCCCTTCCTCACCTTCCATCATCAATCTTACCGCTCTTTCTACCTCTTTACGACCCACCAAGCTCGCTCCTGCCTCCACCACTGGCTTGATGGCTATTCCAACTTCCTCTGCAAGAATTGTCGCATTCATTCGCTGTTCTGCATAAAGTGGCCATGCAATCATTGGCACACCATGAGTAACAGCCTCCAATGTTGAGTTCCACCCACAGTGAGTTAAAAACCCACCGGTTGATGGGTGTTTCAGCACCGAAACTTGTGGTGCCCATGATGGCACCACCACTCCCCTTTCACTAGTCCTCTCGAAAAACCCTTTTGGCAGATAAGCCTTTGGATCATTAACATCACTTCCTACATTAAAAAATGCAGCTGAGGCACTACTATTTGTTGGCATACGAGCAACCAAAAGGAACCTTTGATGGCTCAATTCAAGCCCCCATGCTAATTCAGTGATCTGCTCAACTGTTAACGTACCACCACTTCCGAGTGACACATAAAGAACTGACTGAGGTGGTTGCTTGTCTAACCACGCCAGGCAGTCAGCATCTGAGGCAGTCAGAGGCTCTTCTTGTTTGATTAGGGGTCCAACCGGGTGAACCGGTGGTGTGTGAATTTGTTTGAAGAATGGACCCTCCGTTATAGCTTTAAAGTTCGCTGGTTCAAGATCCTCCCAAGAATTAAGAAATATTCCCGTTCCCAAGTAGAACCTGCTGGAGTGAAATAAATACCATTTGTACTCGTCAATCTTACGGTTTTTGACCTGGTCTAGGAGGTCTTCAGGTCGAATTGGAGGGCAACCAGGGACCTTAACTGGTTCGGGGAGATCAACAAATTCACCCTCCACTTCTCGGTCAAGAGTTGGTAAATACAGAGAGAAAGTAAGCAAAGCAACAGATGCAGTGAAGAACAAGTAAGCTGGAATTGAAAGTGCACTGCAGATGTCAAAAGCCTGGGTGCAAAACAAATCAACGACAACAGCTTTGAGCTTTCCTAACTCCATGAGGACAGATTTAAGGGACTTCATGGCTTCTTCTACTATGGCACAAAGACGAGCGAGCAACGACATATCCTTTGTGGTGACGGCGAAAACATCGACTGGAGGGAGGTAGACAACGTCAAGGCCTGGAGGGAGGGTGGGTGATTTGATTAGCTTGTCTTGGGCTGCAGAGGCTTCGTTGGTGGCGATGACAATGAAACTCACATGAAATTCATGGTGGATAACCAGTCGTTTAGCGATCTCAAGAAGAGGGATGATATGCCCCATGCCTGGGCTTGGTAAGACTGCAACATGGGGTTTTGTGGTTTCTTTTTCAGCTGCTACGACCATTGGTTCTTTGGTGTTTGCCATTCGTATCCTGCAATGCAAAATGTAAGGTAAAAGGTGGGTACGTATAACGTATTTGTCTTGACAGGAAGTAGTGGGGAAATAAATTTTTGGGAGGTTGATGAGTAGTGGGGAGAGTGAGTCTGATGAGAGAGCATGCAGTTGATATTTTAATTTTCATTCTACTTGGCTTTCAATTTATAGGACAGAGAATGGGTGATATTACATTGTAAAAATGTTCATTTTTCTTCTCTAATTTTCAGAGTGATTGGAGTTGTAGAGAATTATCTATAAAACTTGGCTGCTCTCATATTCTTAAGAAAATGAGGTAAATTTTTTTTAATCCCTAAAGTACCTCAAACTTAAAAATACAGATTAATCATTCATTATTCTATTAACATATAAGACAGATACACCTATCCAAAGAATTTTTTTCATACACAAAATCTCAAATTCCAAACCATTTATTTAAATAATTATAATCATTTTTGTTCAACTCAATTCTCTAGGTTCTGCCACGCTTTTTATATACCTAGATTTTGACAATTTGTAAGTATTTATCATTAAAAGTAAGTCAATAGCAGTTGGGTTTGGTTTACTCAGTTGTTTTTTTTAAAAAAAAAAAAAATTTAAGTGGAATCATACTGGATATATGAACAATCAAATTAAATAAAATGAAATATTTTGATTCAGTTATTTAGTTTTCAATTTTTCCTTAAAATAAAAATAGTTCATTGATTTTTATTTTTGAAAATAAAAATTAAAAGATAAAAAAAATTGATTGTTCAGTTTTCAGATCAAACTAAAATAAAACCGAATCTCCAAAAAAACTTAGACTAATATACTAAATTACGATGGTTTTTCTGTGTGTTTTTTCATCTTTATTTATGAGTCTTTTGGTTGTTTTTAATAAATTTTGATGTTCAATTTAAAAAAAAAAACAGAGAGAGAAAAGGAGAAAAAAAAGAAACTTCACCTAGATTTTATATAATTATTCATTAAAAAAAAGATGCTATATGCCTTTGAAGAAGTGAATCAAAGATTCAACACCTTACATTAAGTTGATTGCAAATCCTTGGGATAATTAACACAAGCACGAGTGAAGCAACGACCAACGGGACCACGCGCCTGCAGCTGACAGCTGCTGCTTTCTATTCACTGGTGGCACTGTACAGCAAATATTGTAGAAAACAATTAAAGTAAGCAACAACTGATAAAAGCATAAATGTTAACAACCAAAGCAAATATTGTAGAAAACAAAAAATTCAAAAACAACGTTATTTGCGAGAAATGAAGAGGGACCATGAAAATTAAAACATAAAACAAACAAAACAGAGCAAAGACATCAAATAAATTAAAACCCACCAGATTAGACATCAAATAGACAATTAATCAAAAAAATAAAAAACCATGATTAACACAGTATTAAACAAATGAAAAATGAAAATCATGAACTCAATTAACACATCATATAGAAAATGAGCAAATACCTTCTCGCTGTAAAAGACTGAAACACAAACAAAAGAATCCAAACAAATTGCATCAAACATCTAACAAAAACTTGATTTCCTCGGAGCAGAGCATATCAAATTTGTGAATCACTCTAAAAAAGCAAATCACCAAAGGGCACAGCTAAGAGAGCGTCTTATATAGAACAATAAATAGAGCAAAACCGAGCAAAATAAACGACCAGGACACACCCACCAAAAAAACAATTATAAATTATAAAAAATGAAATATTAAGAAGACTTATCTGGCAGCAAAAGAAGAAAAAAAATGCAAAAAATTGTTGAGATGATGCTGTGTGGAAAAAAATGGAAGGAAATTTCCACACAAGAAGCGACCAGAACCCAAAAACCAAACCATGTCCAAGTTAGAATTGAAGGATGAAATGATAAGCTGCCAACGAAGCGAAAACGTGGCCCTCAACCAGTCAACCAGGAGAAAAGAGATCTGGTAGGAGAAGAAAAATCAAAGCAGAAACAAACGCAGAAAAAGCAATACATTAAATGCATTCCAGAAGATAGGTAAATACCAAAAGAAGGCACACATCCAACCAAACATAACACTACCAACATGGACAACAAAGTAAAATTCAAAAAGCACTCAATGATATGAAAGTAAATAACAGAAAACACTCAGCTCATTTTGATTATCAACAGTTAATGAATAATGTATTTAAAAACAATGAACAGTAAATGAATATTAACTTAATTCTGAGTAAACAGCGAATGTTATTTCGGACTCACAATCATTCTAGTTTTTTTTTTTTTTTTTAATGTAATACATATTTACATTTGATTTATCACGACTTATGAAGGTATGGACCCATAATGTTTCCAATTATACGTAACTTATCTATATACATGCATTTTATGGGGGAAAATATCTGTATTGGTGGACTAAAGCATATATTCTTTTAATGCTTGTTAAATCACGCAATCTCATGAGTTGTTACATGTGGAGACGGCACAAACATTAGCTACTGAGGAAAGCCACACCTGCCATGTCGCCATTGAATAGACACGAAAATCAGCACTGCAAGAAATGCACCCAATTAAGATTCATTTGTAAAGATGATAAAGTCCATGTCGTTATGTTTGGACCGAGCCCATAATATTCAGACGAAAACTTGCATCTTGTGTCGATTTAATAAGACACATTCCCGCTTCTTATATTGCTATTATTATATATTTAAAAAATATGAGGGCATGAACAGTGAGTTTCATTGGTTATCTCCCCAAATCACTATTCATTATTTTTTTATAATTTTTAAATTATTTCATTTTAGTTTCTATAATTTTAAAATAAAAATTTTAACTCCTTGGTTGATACATTACACATGTGTTTTTTTTTTGTTTTTTCCTTTGATTTTTTTTCCATCAATTTATTTTTTTATTTAACCGAGTATTAAAATTTTTAAAAATCGATCGTTATTTTTTTTACATAAATTGACTATTATATAATGTATAAAATATATTTTTAGATTTTAGAATAAGTATATACTATTCTTATTGTTTAAAATTGATTTTTTCAATTTATTATAAAAATTAACATCAAGTTAACTTTTATTCTTATTTTTATATTAAAAATTAACTATATATCTTCCAACATAATTATTTTTCTCCACATAAATTGATGATTATATAATATATAGGATATGTTTTTAGGTTTTAGAATAAATATATACTATTCTTATTGTTTAAAATTGATCTTTTTAACTTATTCTAAAAATTCACATCAAGTTAATTTTTATTCTTATTTTTATATTAAAAATTAAAAAATGTGAGGGGTATCAACATTGAGTTTCACTGTTTATCCCCTCACAAATCACTATTCACCATTTTTTTTTTTTTTTGTAATTTCTAAATTGTTTCATTTTGGTCTCTAGAATTTTAAAATAAAAATTTTAATCCCTTGGCCGATGCAAGTACAAATGTTTTTTTTTTTCCATCAATTTATGTTTTTTTTTTATTTAACTAGGTGTTAAGATTTTAAAAAATTAATTGTTATTTTTTTTAACATAAACTCGACGATTATATAATATATACGATATATTTGTAGATTTTAGAATCAATATATACTCGTTCTTATTGTTTAAAATTGATCTTTTTAATTTATTATAAAAATTCACATCGAGTTAAATTTTATTCTTATTTTTATATTAAAAATTAACTATATATCTTCCAACATAATTATTTTTTTATATAAACCGACCATTATATAATATATACGATATGTTTTTAGATTTTAGAATAAATATATACTATTCTTATTGTTTAAAATTGATATTTTCAACTTATTATAAAAATTCACATCAAGTTAATTTTTATTCTTATTTTTATATTAAAAATTAACTATACATCTTCCAACATAAAACAAATTATTTAATATGACTATTTTTTTAATATTATAGAACCAATTCATTTGAAATAAATAATTAAAAATTTTTTTAAATGAACCAACCAGTTATTCAAATATAGTTTTTTATACAAATTTTATTGATTATTTTGTAAATAAATATATATAGATCAGATGCATATACTTAAAAAAAAAAATCTTCTCACCAACATTAAATAAGAATAAAATTTTATTTTTATTGGTTAATTTTTATGCAAGTTTATATATTAATTGTAACTTTATTTTTTGATACATTCTTATAAAAAAAATAATTTTAAAGTATTTATTTTAGAATTCTTAATTAATATTTCAGGTTTAAATTATTACAAATTTTTATTTAAGAATTCCTAAATAAAGAAGAATAAACCATGTTTTTTAAGTAGAAATTTTATGAAAAACACAAAAAATATATATTTATATATAGTTATAACGAAATAAAAAATTAAAGAAAACATTTTGAAATTTTGAAATGATTATGTTTTATTTACTTATATCGTTGCGCGTATTATTTCAAAAACTAATCTTCTCATCAGAATTAAATAAAAATTTTTTTTTCATTTGTTAATTTTTATAAAAGTTAATCCATCAATTAAAACATTATTTTTTTAGAATACCATATTATAAAAATTATATTTTAATGTTTTTTAATTCTTTATTAATATTTTAGTTAAAAATATTATAATTTTTTATTTACCATCAATGCATAAAAAAAATTTATATTTTTTTTAAGTAAAAAATTTATCAAAAATATTAAAAAAATTAATTAAAAAAATTTAAAATAATCTGATTTTATCCGATCGATAGCCGTAGCGTGAGCAGCCGGCTAGTCATTACTTAAAAGACAAGAGAAAAGCTTCCATTTGAAATTCGCGGAAGACAAGATAGAAACAAACAAATTTCAATCTCCATCTTCACTAGCTCGATTATTCTATCTTCACTCAAGTAATAGCTCGATTCTGTTTGTTTACTAAACCCTAATTTGAGATTAAAATCCCTAATTTGACAATTCTCACTTATTTCATATTCTGTTGTTCGATTCTCTAATTTTCTGCATCTCATGGTTTTGATGTAACTGATTGGAGATTTTGAACAATGGCATTTTGGCAGAAGGTACGTATCTCTCA